GGATGTAGAATAACATCCCTCTATATATATATATATATATATATATATATATATATATATATATATAAAAGGTGAGTTTATGTTATCAACTTCCTATATTTGGTATTTGAAATATTTGGTCTGTTTGATTTTATGTGGGAAAAGGCAAAACGTTCTTGAAGCTATTATGAGATGATAATGAAATCGGGTTTAGAACTGTAAAATTTCTTAATGTGAAGTTTTTGTGATGAAACTGTTTTGATGCCATTCTTGGCAAAAACAACAGATTCAGTTATATTATTATGGGGGAAAAGGTAACATATCAAGGAGATGTGTACTTTTGGATAAGGTTGGAGATTGTGCAATCTGAGTTTTGATCACACATTTTATTATTACATCTATGAGATACAATGATCTTGAGTTATTACTTCTATGTGATATGAGGACTCAAAATTATTGCTCTTATTGATATGATAACAACGTTGCCATGGAGAGAAGGAAAATGGTTTATAACCAGAAAGGCTTTTGATTGCCTATGTTTTGAGTTAATAATATTTTGGGTTAATCTGGATTATGTCAATAAAATAAAGTTTTGATGAGGAACCAAAGGGGCTCTGGTTGGTCTTCAAGATTAACAAGAAGGCATCTAGTTGTGATGGAAAATCTCAAGTTTTTTAAAACTCTCATATTTGACCCAAAGGCTTTGTATGTGTTACACGGAGGCTTTGTATCATGAAATTTCACAAGTACAAGCTCCGTATCTGAGCTCTATACCTAAACTCTTAGTCTTTCGTGCAATTTATAAGTTAAAACCTTCTTAACTTGATCTTTTCCAACTATATTAGAGGACCAAAGAGGCTCATGTTAACTTTCATGTTTACTAGAGGGCCTCTGGTTATGTTAAAGATCTAATTGTCTTCTTATGTCTCATCTTCTTATTTTCCATAAGTTTTAGTTAGATAGACCAGAGGCTCTAGTCGTCCACAGAGCCTCTGGTTAGTCATGAGTCTTTGGCTCTTACAAGATTGAAACCAGAAGCTCTGGTTGGTAAGACCAGAAGCTCTGTCAACCAGAGAGACTCTGGTTGGCTTAAATTCTGGATTTCCTTATACTTAGTTAAGTTACTAGAAGAGCTCTAGTTGATCATATTATGTGTATCATTTTCATGTTGATCTAGCCTTGAAGATTAAATCTTTAATGACTTTGTTTTATTTAGCTTTGCTCTAGCTTAAGAGCCAAAGGAGCTCTGGTCCTTAAGAGCCAGAGGAGCTCTGGGTGATTTCGCATAGAGGGATGTGAGGACCTAAGTGGTCATGCGCTTTTTGCGGCAAGGAAAATTTATAAATCCTTATGGGATTATGATATTTGAGTTTGGATTTTATAAAAAGGTGTTAGATATTTGTAAATTTCGAATATGTTTTCATAACAGGTTTTCATGATTTTCACCCTGTAATTGCATAAAAAGGGATTTCTCACTAGTCCTTAAGGTCTAACCCTCATTTTGTGTTTAAAAATGTACATTGCAGGTCATGTTTTATCAAGAGATAAGGGAAATGGAAAAATGTGAATTTTTTCTTTCATGCTTGCATGGGTTATGATGAAGATCTTGTTATTTGTTGAAGTTTTGGAATACTTGTTTTATATGCAAGTTACATACAAGAATATTATAGAAAAATTATGTTGTAAATTTTGTAATATAACTTCTTGTACTGTTGGGACCGAATGTATATTATTTGTATTTCTTGATATATGAAATACATGGTTATATGCAAATGTGGATCTTGGGGTGTTACAAATTGGGTGGACAATTGAAGAATGGACCAAAGGGTTGAATTAAATGAAGAGTTTTGCAGGCCCCAAATTGAAGTACAAGAAAATGAAAAAGGGAAAGAAGTTGGACAAGCACAAGGCCTCGTTCCTCGAAGAGCAAATTCAACATGGCCTTGTGCTTAGTTTCAACTAGGCCTTGCAGTTTTAAAGGAAAAGTCCATTTCAACAACGTCGTAAGGCACTTGGAAGGAAACTGCTCGCCCAAAATTTTCAAGGGCTATTTTGGGATTTCATGTGTTGGGTATAAAAGCAATCATTTTAGAAATTTTAAGGGGAGGACAATTATTTTTTTTAGGGGAAGCCTCCTCCCAATTTTCTCTCTTCTTCTTCGTTTCTCTATATCTCTTAGACTAGAATTTATTTATTTTTTTCCTCTCCTATAGATCTATGACTATAGTATATATTTAGGCTTAGTTTGCTTTTATGTAATACGTAACTCTCTTCATTTCCTGTGTTTTAGATACAGGATTTGAAGATGAGATGAAAGCTTTTTTGATTCTTATTTCACAATCATTGTATTGTATCTTTTTACCTTATCCATTGTTAAGACACTCGATTTCATTGTAAAATAGGAATGGGTAATATGTCCTTGTAATTTATTGTTGTGAATATCTTAAGAATCCTTTCCTTTTCTTCTTATATTATTGTTGTATATATAGCCTTTATACCTCCCTCTTTTGAGACAAGTGAAATAAACGAAGAATTCTACATCCATAGAATTCATGATTTTGTTCATCGTTTTACTTTCATATATCTTTATTTATCTTTTTCCTGCACATTTATACCTTATTTACTTTATGCATTATTTCTTAAAATATTTTATTGTTTTCTAGGTAAAAATGATTGTTGGAGAGTAACACTCCTTGGTCTCCCTTTACATTTTTCTTAGTTTAGTTTTACGGTTTTCATCAGATTTATGTTTTGTCTCGTAGATAAATTAACGAAGAGGTGATTGTAAAGTAGACCAACCTAGAACCGAGACCTATGTATATAGAGGTATTATAAATGAGGCAAATGAATTGGACTACCAAACCTAGACCTCTGGCATTTTCTTCTTCTTGGATCAAACCAAAATTTTAAGTTTTGTTCATGGTCAACACAATTGAACTTGGACTTGAACCCAAACCAGGAAAATTGGATACAGGGACAATACTTATCCAAACTTCCTTTGTAAACATTGTGATGTTACAGTTAATACGATTGAATTTTATATTGATTGGATTTAATATCCTTACTATGCATTTTCCATTTACATGTGAACAGATACTTGGTAGATGCTCGTTCCATTTACATGTATGGATTTGACACTCCTAACTTGGAAAATATTTCCGAATGTATTATTCTTTTCAAAGTATCGGGTGGCTGAAAATATGTCTATATACTAGGTTCAGACGTGTAAAATAATATTGGTGGAAAAGGCTATGGCCAAAGAACAAAAGTTTGACACAGAGACTTTCACTAATGGATCATTGATGACTCTGTCCGTTAGTGATAAAGCTCAGATTTGTAGTCAGATGATATTTTGCATTCCATAAACAAGCTACAAGTTTTACGCAAGATCTAGAAAATTAATGATGTAGTAAGAAGCATACAACAACCACGCTCACAAATCATATACACGAGCAGATTTAACTTCATATGTATGGATTGTACATTCTGATCAGGCAAGTCGCCTCGTATCTTAAACAGTTGGATATGAGGCCATCATAGCAATACCGCAGAGTCCTTCCTCAGCATCCACATCTCTTTGCATTCTGATATAACCTTCCTCTCCCCAACTTGTTCCCCATGAGTTTTTCACTAGCCAATACTTGGTGCCCTCTGGGTTCTCTCCATATCCAACGGCTGTAACACCATGGTCTAGTTGGGTTCCACATTCTCCAGTGAAAACCCCGCTTGAATAAGACTGGAAATCTGATCCACTAGCGTCGATGGCTACAGAAATTGGTTGCATGGCCACAGCCTTCAACAATGCGGACTCGCTGTTGGCAGGCACATCTCCATATCCAGTGATCTTGGCGGCATGGGACGATTCTTTTGACGTGCTACATATTCCATCAATTGCTTCATAAGGGTAATTAGATTCAGTGGTTAGGCCCTTGTTTTCAATAATAAATTTGAAGGCCTGGTCCATAAGACCACCATTACAGCCTTGATCTTCACCACTGGTATCACAATCAACTAGTTCTTGCTCAGATAATGAAATCAGTTTACCGGTTGACAGCTGGTTGATTCCTTCCATCGCTGCTACTGCTGAAAAAGCCCAGCAACATCCTTTACAAAATAAAATAAGTTAATATGGCAAGTCTAAACAACAATATTATTTGAAATGTAAAAATTCAAATAGTATGTATGTGTTTAAAACTCAACTATTTCAATATTTCATCAGTTTAAGGTATATATATATATATGGGGTTACTCGGTACTTACCACATTGGCCTTGATCTTTCACTGGCGTAACTGCTCCCTTCTTTCTCCAGTCCATTGTAGATGGAACTACGGTCAAATTTTCATACTTTAACACGCTAGTTCTAGGATTAGATCGAAGCTTAAAACCATTTCGAGAGGCCCGAAATTCCTCATTAGTCAAGTCAGTAAATGCATTCACGCCACGCTTGTAAGACTTGCCCCCAACACTGTTGAATGCCTCTATGTTCTCAACATTCGTTTTGAATATCTCAAAGCGCATTTCCTTTTCTGCTGCATCTTTGTAAACACGTCCATGAAGAGCCATCCACTGCTCGTGTCTCTCCGCCATGGATGATTCAGTAAGGGTGCGGGATGTGGCTTCAAGAGTCCATACTCCGACAAGCAAAAGTAGTGCAAAGGAAAAGTTCCCACTGATATTGAGAGCCATGTTTAATCAACTTGAAAGCAGATTGCAAAGCAGCTGTACGGGGATAGATTAATAAGCTGGTGGGTAATTGTCCTGCACTTGATTGCATTTGTGTTTTAGGGAAGGACGTATTTATAGAACTAGTGGACTACATCCCTTAAAGCCAATTAAGAATCCGTTTGATATTGCATTCTCATTGTAATTGGATTTTGTGATAGAAAATGAATTGCATTTTCTAGAGAGCCAGGCAAGTTATCTGTGATATGGACAACGAAACATGGCTCGGCGTGGAAGTTGATTCATTCCATGTTATATATATATATATATATATATATGATTGTAATTTTGTATGCTCATGTTCGGCTATTAGGCAAAAGGACGATCTGTGTATGTATTTTAGTTACAGAAATACTTTTCTATAAAGAGTTTTTATGGGATACAAAGTTATCTGTCTTTTCCTTTCTTTGTTAAGTTTTTAATGACCGTTTGTATAATTCATAGATCAAGACATATTGCATTTAATTAACCCCCGTATATATTTGCAAGCATGAGGACGATAAAGAAAACAACTGATGTTGGTATTTCTTACAATTCGGTTTCGATTGAAAATATAGAATTTTTTAGCAGGTCTTCTCTAATCTGCAAGGGAACAACTTCCAGGTTGCATCTCTAAATATGGTACAAAACAAAAATCGCACATATGATATGATAGAACCGATGTCCATAATAAGAAAATTTATGATTAATTAATAAACCAAGATTATTTATTATTTTAAAAATTAGTTAAAAAATAAATTAATAAATTGTGGGCATATGTTCACGTCCCAACAAAACACTTGTGTAAATTCAAACAATTGTGGGCATATGGTGTATGAGTCAAAGTGTGGGGCGACAAGATAGTTCCATGAGAAAAAGTTAAAAATTGTAAAAATGAATATATGGACAAACCATGTTGAAAACGATGCTAAACACGGTCTTTAGGACGGAGTTGTGAGTTGCACTTATCATAAGAAATTCTAAGAGAAGATTGCAGTGGTTTGGACACATTCATATAAGTCCTATGACATATGACATACTGAATATAATAGAGAACACGATGGTTGAGGGGTGAGGAGGGATAGACAGAGTAGTTGAGGATGAACACAATGACTTTAAAATATGGAAATATAATCGYTTCATTAAATAAATATTCCATAACCATGATCTTAACTGATTACTACAACAAAATTAACCTTTAGAAATAAATTTCCTGTACCTAATTAGATCTTTTGTAAAGGTTTTCCATATGCTTTTAGTTTTGTCAAAAATAACATTTTAGTTTCACCATATCCTCCCAAAGAATTTCACTGGACAAGTGCAAACTTGTCAGAGATAAAATTCTCAAATCATTTAGTCGTTCTTTCTCATCATCGGTCTAAGTTGTGGGCATATGTTCACGTCCCAACAAACAATATAAGATAAGAACAAATTATCCCTATAACCAAGAAATGATTAAATAAATAAATCCAATAACAGGGAGGTTTTACACAATCGGAGTTTAAAGTATCATTGAATTCCATCATAGTACTATTTACAATGATGGTAGAAAGTGAAACAGGAAAGCCTTGTTGTTGATTGATGGTGGAGTGACATGGGTGCGGAAGGAGATACTCATGATAGACGATAGAGTCTCGTACAATTTGACTATGCTGAAGAACAAGGGGCAATATATATTGTGGGAGTCATCATCAGCAGAAATGCCAAAGAATTAACGAGGAATGGCAAACCAATAAGGGATTTTTTTGGCACATCTAGATCATTATAATGTTAGATCACATAAACAACTTATCTCCCTACACACTTATATTTGCATCAATGACCTAATAAAAGATGATATTTTGCGTTCTGTAAACAAGCCATAATTTTCGCATGCGGATCTAGAAAAACTAGGGTCGTCCCTTAATTAGCATGTTAAATGTGAGATTTTAAATAGGGCCTCCGAAATTTTGGGGCCCAAATTTATATGTGTTTAGGGTCTTTTTATTGACATGTGTAGAACTATAGCCGAAATTATTTAGGTTCAAATCATTAATTGTTTGGTTTTAGGTTCAAATCATTATTAGGTTTAGTTTCATATTGTTAATCGTTTAGGTTTAGCCCATTTTTGTTCTTAACATATATTCTTTATTATCTCATTTATGCAATGCAATCAAAAGTTTTGAATGTAGCAGTGCCTCCAAAAAGATAGGAACGTCCCTGAGAAAAACCATGATGTACGATTATATATATATATATATATATATATATATATATATAACCACACACATAATCATTACATGAGCAGAGAAACAACTTGGCAATTATATGCATGAGCCAAAATGAATTCATGTGTATGGACTGTTCTGAATACACATGTTTCCTCATCTATTAAGAAGTCGAATATGAGGCCATTATAACAATGCCGTAGAGTCGTTCCTCGGCATCAACATCTATTTGCATCATGATATAACGTTCCTCTCCCCAACTTGTTCCACACGAGTTCTTTACTAGTCGGTACTTAGTGCCCTTAGGGGTAGTTCCATATCCAACTGTTGTAACACCATGGTCTAGTTGCGTAATGTTATCTACAATTTATGCACCTAATTTTGTTTACTTTGTAGTTGCATTTTGCATGTAGATACTCATTCATATTAAGTTTTATTAGATTTATAGTCACATTCCTTATAATCTTCGTGGAGAGGTACTTAGGTATTTGTGTGGTGTTTGTGCGAGTTTTGATGGATATTTCTTTTACAAATGATTGGTTGTGGATGAATAGTTAGTTTTGGGAGCATTAGATCAACAATTGGTGGATAATTGAAGAATAAAGCAAACGGCTGAATCAAATGAAGAGTTTTGAAGGCCCCAAATTGAAGTGCAAGAAAAGGAAAAAAAAGGAAAGAAGTTGGACAAGCATAAGGCCTTGTTCTTAAAAGATCAAATTCAACATGGCCTTATGCCTAGTTTCAACATTAAGGCCTTGTAGTTTTAAAGAAAAAGTCCATTTCAACAAGGCCGTGTAAGGCACCTAGAAACTCCTCGCCCAAAATTTTCAAGGGCTATTTTGGGATTTCAGGTGTTGGGTATAAAAGCAATCATTTTAGGAACTATAAGGGGAGGCCGGTTATTTTCTTGGGAGTAGCCTCCTCCCAATTTTCTCTCTTCTTCTTCATTTCTCTATATCTCTTAGACTAGGGTTTATTTTTTTTTTCTTCCTCTCCTATAGATCTATGACTAGAGTATATATTTTGTTTTAGTTTGCTTTTGTCTAATACATAACTCCTTCATTTCCTGTATTTTAGATACGGGATTTGAAGATGAGATGGAAGCTTTTTTTGTTCTTATTTTACAACCATTGTGTTGTATTTTTTTTACCTTATCCATATAATTCATGATTTTGTTCATCTTTTTACTTTTGTATCTCCTTATTTATCTTCTTCGTGCACATTTATGCTTTATTTATTTTATGCATTATTTCTTAAAATACTTTGTTGTTTTCTAGGTTAAAAATGATTTTTGGAGAGTGATACTCCTTGGATCTCCCTTTATAGCTTTCGTAGTTTAGTTTTGTTTACATCAGATTTATTTTGAAAATGAACGTTTAAATGTCGTCACGTCAATCCCACAAGCCTCTTATCCATTCTCATTCAACCACGACGGGGTCATGGTTTCTCCTGGCTATATGGTTCATCCGGGGGAGAGATCGAGCTTCAAGAAATAGCGAATGGTCCTATCAATACACAAATGTATAACTCCCCAGTAATTTTTGTCTTGTAGTCTAGTTTTTTACTGGGGTTTGTTGCCTTGAATTAAAGTCACGGGATTAACCAATTGATCATAACAAATACTGTATTTTAATCGGTTGATTTTTAACCAATGAAAGTTGCACTACGGTTAATTGGTTCTAATACAATGTTTAGTTAATTTGTTTAGTTGGGGATATGAACGAAAGTTTTATTCAGTCTATTGGCAATGCATCTCCTTCATATTTCCAACATGGCTTTATAAAAAACTATAAAATAACAAGATAGTGTTGTGATTTACCTTGCAACTCTCTTATATGGTTTCTCGAGAGGTGCAAGTTTGATACATCTTACTCGAGAGAAACGAGTATTATATGATTTACCTACATACATATACGTACATGCATATGGTGTAATTTCAGTAGGGATCACATTGATGGGGGGGGGGGGTTCCAAATAACATTGTGGCACAAATGGTACCAAAAAGAATAATTTCAAGTATTTTAGGCTCCATTATTCAGATAGAAGTAGGAGAGATCAATTATGACGTGACTAATAACATAAAGACAGGGCTGAAGCAGAAAGTTGTCGGTTCTGGTCCATGAAGTTGCTCTGTCATCAGTAGCTAAAACCAAGGTCGTAATCTATCCTATTCTTTAGGCGGGGATAGGTTCATAGGAGGACTTGGTTCAGAAGTTGCATTTTTCAGTACTGGGACCAAAAAATGGGGTTGATGGTGTTGGCTAAAAGAGAGAGAGAGAGGAGAGCCTTCAGGTAGGCGATTGATCAAAAAAAGATTTCCTTCCCTCTCACCCTAAAACTATCTATAAGGCTAATTTAGACTAGGGAAAAGGCTTTAGTTTGATTGCAGCTAGCGCACTTGACTAAGAAGATAGAAAGGGCTTTTCTCGCTTCAGGATGGGATTGATTCTTTCAGCTCGCTGGGTCCTATTCATTATCCAATTCGCTGCAAAAGAGAGGTATGGTTCTATAGTCAAAGCAACTTTGTCACTTTCGTGTACCCATCGGGGGTTCTCTGCGTGCAGTGTAAGATTCCCCTGGATGGGTCTCGTAGGAGAAAGAAGGGATCATCTCCAATCTAGTTGTAAGGTCTTATCCCCTTATTAGGGCTGAAAGAGAAAAGCAGGGAGGTGGTAGGCTTAGTACAGCTCTCCCTCCACTTCCTCAGGGCCTCACTTCCTCACTCAACTCACTCAGACGCTCGCCAAACCGGTGCTGCTTGCGCGGTCTTGGGAAATGTTTGCGGAGTGTCACGAGGTCCTTCTAAGTTAGGAAATCCTAAAATTGAAAGACATTCATTGTCTTAACCTTCACACCAATTATGGTGTATGAGTCAAAGTGTTGGGCGCAAAGAAAGGTCCATGAGAAAAAGTTAGAAATTGTAGAAATGAAGATGCTTAGATGGATATGTGGACAAACTATGTTGAAAACGATACTAAACAAGGTCTTTAGGGCGGAGTTGTGAGTTGCACTTATCATAAAAAGTTGTGAGAGAATATTGTAGTGTTTTGGACACATGTGTATAAAACCTATGACATAGGAAGATAATACAGAACACAATGGTTGAGGGGTGAGGAGGGATATACAGAGCAATTGAGGATGAACATAACAACTTTAAAATATGGTAATGTAATTTGCTTCGTTAAATAAATATTCCATAACCATGATCTTAACTGATTTACTACAACAAAAATAACCTTTAGAGGGAAATTTTCTGTACCCGAAGATCTTTTGTAAAGGTTTTGTATATGCTTTTAGTTTTGTCAAAAACAACCTTTTAGTTTCGCTATAACTCCCGAAGAATTTCATTGGATAGTGCAAATTTGTAAGAGATAAAACTCTCAAGTCATTTAGTCGTTCTTTCTTATCATCGGTCTAAGTTGTGAGCATATGTTTACGTTCCAAAAAACAATTGTGTAAATTCATCTTAATTAAAACACATCTCATATTTATCTTACGTAAGGGAAATTTAAGGCACATTTTACCATGCCTCCTCTAGGTTTACTCCATGGCTTACACGCCAGGCTAGGTCACATGTTGGATTTTAAAGCACTTTTACATCAAGTGTGGAGAATTGTAGTTTGTAGAGACCAAAGTCAAAGAAACTGAGTATGTGGAACCTCATTTTATTCTTCAACAGAGCCATTGAGGAGAAAAGAGGTTCCAACATATATGAATGGAAACTGGTCAAGACTAGCCGATGTGAGATTTTAACAAGAACCTTGACAGAGCAATCAGCTTACGAAAACCGTTGACAAATTAATGAAGAGGTGATTGTGAAGTAAACCAACCCTTGACCCGAGACCTATGTATATAGAGGTATTTTAGATGATGCAAATCAATTGGACTACCAAACCTAGGCCTCTGGCATTTTCTTCTTCTTGGATCAAACCAAAATTTTAATTCGGACGGAGTAAGTTGGCTTCAAGGTTAACACAATTGAACTAGGACCTAAACTCAAACCATGAAAATCAGATACGTAGACAATAGGCCTCAGATTACAATAATCAGACCCTTTCCATAAATTGGACTTACTATACACCAGTGTTGCATCACATATATTACAAAAAACAGAATAAAAAGTGTATATTTTAAACTTCCCAGACAGATGCGTTTTGTTCAAGTTATAACAAGTATAATCTAGAAACACTAAGCAGTTGGATACGATGAATCCATAGCTATTCCACATAGACCTTGTTTGGCACTAACATCTCTTTGCATCATTATGTATCCACCATCTCCCCAGCTGGCACCCCACGAGTTTTTAACCAACCAATACTTCATTCCATCATCAGTTACCCCATACCCAACGGCTGTAACACCATGATCAAGATCGGTTCCGCAATCCCCAGTAAAAATTCCACTTGAGTAGAGCTGAAAAGCGTAGCCACTAGCATCAATGGACACAGATATGGGTTGATTGGCCACTGCCTGTAGCAATGCCTTTTCACTGTTGGCTGGAACTTTTTCATACCCACTAATCCTGGCAGCATAAATTGCTTCCTCCTTTGTGTTGCAAGTTCCATCCACAGCTTGATACGGGTAAGCTGCCTCAGCGTTGATGCCTTTGTTTTTTATAATAAATTCAAAGCCATCTTCCATCTCGCCACCCTCACATCCTTCATCTTCACCACTCCTGTCACAGTCCACTAGCTCTTGCTCAGAGAGTGAAATCAATTTTCCAGTACTGAGTTGAGTAATCCCTTCGGTAGCAGCTATAGTTGAAAACGCCCAACAGCTTCCTGATGATTACAAAACACTAAATAAATATGCATGTATGTGTAGCCAAGAGTTGAAAAATCACTTGTTCATGTTGTGGTTTTCCTACTTTTTATTTTTTTTAATTATTTGTTATTTTTAAATATTCAACAACAATTCGGTAATCAACTTACCACATTGACCTTGATCTTTAACTTGGGTAACTGCTCCTTTCTTTCTCCAATCCATGCTAGGTGGCACTACAGTCACATTTTCATACCTAAATGGTGTTGTTTGATCTAATTTTTTGTTTGTTGAAAACTTGTAACCATTACGAGCTGCTTTGAACTCTTCATTTGTTTGGTCGGCAAATGCGTTAGCACCTACTTTGTAAGGATGATTTCCACCACTGTTGAATGATTCTATGAATTCCATGTTGTCCTTAAATATCTTGAAGCGCATTTCCTTCTCTGTGTCATCTTTGTACACCCGTTTATAACGTACCATCCACATTTCATGTTTCTCTGACATGGACAAGTCACTTAACATGCGGCATGTGATCTGAGAAGACCAAATCCCTATGATAAGAAGAGAGGTGATAATAAACATTCTTTTGACAGTTGAACCCATTGGTTGCAGGTTTGACACCTTCTCAATTAGTTTAAAGAACCCACAACTTGCAGGCTTTTGAGTGAGGAGGTGCCTTAAATGCATAACTCATGAGAAATATATAGGAAGAGATTATGACATGAATAACATTTTCAGGAGGAGGCAACTACTATGATGCAATTCAGAAAGCAACCAAGTCCGTGGAATGCAAGGCAAAAGTACGTTGGCTCAGACAATGCGTAGACGTTATTTTGTTTAACAGGAATAATGTCTTATGTGTGTTTTTTTAGATATATCCAATTACAACGTATCCAACATCATATTTTTGTTGGCTCTTGGAAAAGGCCAGCTTTTGGCTCTAGTTTTGCTCTCATTAGAAATTTTGTCTGTTATGCTTGGCAATATTTCTGAATAGTTGTATCCAGTTGATAATGATATTCTTTTTAAGCATATAATAGTTATATATACCCCAAACTAAATCACGCATACTTCTCGTCTTTGGCTTGAAACCTTGACTTCTAAAAGGTTGGGTGACTAGGTACACCGCTTGGCCAAAGGCCGACCTTCAGTCAATTCACTATGATATTCTTGGTAGACAGTACAATAGTTAGTTGTGCTGTTGATTCTAAGTTTCTGCTAGATGACCTGTATAAGGGTCAATCTTTTTGAAAATTTCTACCAAGTTTAGCAAGAACTGTTGGAAGGATTAAGTAAGATGCAATATACAAAGAAACACCGACTTTTTCTTATTAAAATCACAGCCCCTGTCCATTAGTATGAACATACATATATATACAAATCTAAACGACACAATTAACAGACACAATGGTTCATAGAACGACATAACTGTAACGGTGGTTAAGAAGTATTTGACGGATGTAACTGTCTGGTCAAACTGGTCTAGCTTACTATTTCAACATTCCCCCATAAGCTAGACGCATACCATCCCAAGCTCCTTTTTCAGACGCTCAAAATTTCCCACTTGAAGAGCCTTAGTCAAGATATCCGCAACTTGATCTTTCGTGCCACAGAAATCAACTTCAACTTCTTTGTTGTGAACCAATTCACGAATAAAATGATGTCTAATCCTTATGTGCTTACTCTTGCCATGGAACACGGAGTTCTTTGTGAGAGCAATGGCGGACTTGTTGTCACAAAGAATTTTTATTGCAGAAACTTGCTCCATCTGTAAGTCTTTCATGATTCCTCTTAACCATAGATCGAGCTTGACATCCGGCCATGCTTAACGCCATATATTCTGCTTCGGAAGAAGATAAGGCAACAATTTTCTGCTTCTTCGATTGCCACGAGACTGCTCCAGATCCAATGTTAAAGATGTAGCCCGTAGTACTTTTCCCATCATCAAAGCTACTCCCAAAGTCACTATCGCAAAAACCCTTCAAATTTGTTTCCTGAGTTCTTCCATAAAATATTCCATGATTAAGAGTCCCGTTTATGAATCGTAAAATTTGCTTGACTGCTTCCCGATGGCTTCGCTTAGGAACTTCCATGAACCTACTCATCACACTAACTGGAAACATAATGTCTGGGCGTGTAGCAGTAAGGTACCTAAGACTTCCTATGGCGCTTCGATATAATCTTGGGTCAACATAATCTTCCAACCCACTCTTAGACAGTTTCAGTCCAAACTCCATGGGAGTTGAGATAGGCTCAGAGTTATTCATATTAAATTTTTTTAGAAGATCCTTAGCATACTTCTGCTGAGAAATCAAGATTCCATTTTCACTTTGCTTTATCTCAATGCCCAGAAAATAATGACGTGAGCCCATATCCGTCATTTCAAATTCCATTTTCATAGAATCCTTGAAGTCTTCTATCACCTCATGAGAATTCCAGTAATAACTAGATCATCTACATAGATGCATATGATAAGGGACATGCCTTTGTCATTTTTGAGGAATAAGGTGTGCTCGTAAATGCATTTTTGGAAACCATTCTCAATGAAGTACTTTTCTATCCTGCTGTACCAAGCCCGTGGGRCTTGTCTWAGTCCGTATAAGGCTCTCTTCAAGTGACATACCTTCCTCTCATTCCCTTTTTCAACGTAACCAGKGGGTTGGTCTATGTAAACGTCCTCTTCAATAAATCCATTTAAAAACGCAGATTTGACGTCCATTTGATGGACCGTCCATTTTTTATGAGAGGCTATGGCAAGAACTAACCTTATTGTTTCCATACGTATGACTGGTGCAAAAACCTCCTGGAAATCAACCCCATGCTGCTGTTTATATCCTTTAATGACCAACCTTGCTTTCAGTTTATCAACTTCACCCTTTTCATTTAACTTGGTTTTGTATACCCATTTGACGCCAATAGATTTATGCCCTTCGGGTAGATCTACCAATTTCCACGTACCGTTTTTCTTAATAGCCTATATTTCTTCATCCATTGCTCGTCTCCATTTTTCATTTTTGTATGCTTCTTCAAATAGAACTCGATCTGGATCTGCATCTGCGAAGAGAGCGAAATCTGCAATATCATCTAGATTTAGTCTTTGAGTATTCTCATATAAATCTCTTAAGCTTCTATACTTCTTTGCAGGTGATTCGAAGCTTGATGGGGACGAGTCTTCATTGTGGGTGGATTCGGAGCTTGATGGGGACAAGTCTTCATCGTGGGTGGATTGAGGAGAGTTAAAAGGCGACTAAGGACTTTCATTAGTATCATTCTTTTCACGTATAGAACTTTTATTCTTGTCGTCGTTCAAATCTACTCGTACGCCATCGCTATTTTCAATAGGTTCGTTCCAAGCTTTGTCTTCATCAAATAAGACATCTCTGTTGATTATGACTCGTTTGGTAAGAGGATTATACAACTTGTATGCCTTGGATTGGTCACTATAACCAACAAATATCATTTTTTCTGATCTGTCGCCGAGTTTACTTCTTCTTTGCTCAGGAACATGTGAATAGGCTAGGCAACCGAAAGTTCTAAAATGAGTTACTCCGGGTTTGTGTCCACACCAAGCTTCTTGGGGTGTTACATCATCAAGGGCTTTAGTAGAAGCCCTATTCATCAAATATGCAGCACATGCGACGGCTTCGGCCCAGAACATATCAGGTAATTTTTTGCTTTTAAGCATACTTCTAGCCATTTCAAGTAAACTCCTATTTTGTCTCTCCGCTACCCCATTCTGTTGGGGGCTGTAACTTTTCGTAAGTTGATGATGAATCCTGTTCTCCTTTAAGTATTCTTGAAACTAGGTTGAATTGAACTCACCTCCACGATTAGTTCGTAAACACTTTATCTTTTGTTCGCTTTGGTTCTCAACGAAGGTTTTAAAATTCACAAACATACCAAAAACTTCTCCTTTCTCTTTCAAAAAATATAACCAGATCTTTCTGCTAAAATCGTCAATAAAAGTTAGAATATACTTACTTCTACCGATTGAAACCGTCCTTATTGGTCCACATACGTCCGAGTGAATGAGTTCAAGGACCTTTGAAGCCCTCCATACTTTATCATGTGGAAAGGACTCCCTTGAGTGCTTTCCTAGCGTACAAGCCTCACATATTTCTTTTAATTTACTTATTGTAGGCATCTCTCTACCATATTGTGACGACACATGTAAGAGAGTGAGTCAAAGTTAATGTGTCCATAAAGATGATGCCACAGCAGAGAAGAATTTTGAGTTATCATGTTGAAACTAAAGAAGTGTTCATCTTGAAATCTTATAGAAAACATCTTATTAGGTGTCATAGAAACTTTACCAAGAAGTACCTTATTAGCGTCTTTGATCTCAGCTGCTTCTTTTGCAAAGTGAACCTCATATCCTTTGTGCAAAAGTTGTCCGACACTAAGTAGATTGTGTCTAAGGCCAGGCACGTAGTATACGTTTGATATTCTTTTATTCCCTATTCTGGTATTTATAGAGATGTCGCCACTTCCTTGCACGTCTCTTGTTATCTCCGGTTCGGACTTCTTTCTTTGTCGATTCATCTATCGACATAAATAAGTTTTTGTTCCTGACATATGATTGCTGCAACCACTGTCCAAATACCAAACATCATTTGAGGATCGTTCTTCCATTTCTAATATCATAAACATAGAATCATCTTCCTTCATTTCTTATGTATGCATGAAGGTAGATCCATTTCCTTCCTCTACAATCCGTTTCCTGCAAAAGCGTATCGTATGTCCAAATTCTGATAGTGGTAACACTGGATTTGAGATAGAGGTTCTTTATTATTATCCCTAGGATCATTACGTCTCTCACTTGTGCTTCCTTGTTTTAATTGTAACTGAAAGGCATGTTCTAAGGGCTGCGTATCAAACTGTTTGATCCTCAGTTCATGTGATTGTAAGATGCCTAATAGATTTTCAAGAGAGAGATCTGCTATATCCTTTGATTCTTCTATTAGCATGACTACGTACTCTAATTTCCTTGTAAGGCTTCTTAAAATCTTTTCTACCACTCTTTGATCTTCGATTGTCTCGCCATTATGCCTCATCTGATTCAACAAGACAATCACTCCATTCTAATACTCTTCTACGCTTTCGTTTTCTTTCATCTTCATATTGTCGAACTCACATCGTAATGTCTGCAATCTTACTATTTTCACTCGTTCCTCCCCACGGTATGTCTTGTAAAGGATATCCCATGCTTGTTTGGATGTTCGTGAATTGGAAATACGTTCAAAGATGTTTTCATCTACTGCCTGGAAGATGAAAAACAATGTTTTTTTGTCTTTCCTTCGATTTTCTTTATCGTCTGCAATCTGTTGAGGGGTTGTGCCTTCGACAGGAACAAGTTATGTATAGCCTTTTTCGATGTATGTCTAAAGATCCTGTGATTTGTACAATACTCTCATCTGCACACTCCAATGGTGATAATTTCGTCCCGTCAATTTTGGCAGTTGCGGTTGCACACTACAAGAAAAATAACCTTTAGAGAAGGTTATGTTTTGTACTTAAAATTCTTAAAAGCTTCTCTAAAGGCTTTAGAGAAGCTTTTCACTTCCGTCAAAAAGCTTCTCTATGTAAGGGTAGGTAAAAGTTTTAGGGACGGTTTTCGGAGGGTATGTTTTTGGTAGCTTTTAGAAAT